AGGGGGAGAGGGGTTTAGCATGTGGGTGCGAAGAGACGCCCTCCAGCTTCATACAGTGCTCTGGCAGCCGCTTGGTCGCCAGGCACATGAAGATGTAGCTGGCGGGAATGCGGGTGGGGGAGAGGGGGGGAGAGGGGGGGGGGAAGGGGGGGGAAGGGTTGAATATGTTGGGGGGGGGGTGAGGAGCTTGGAAGCAGTAACGCAGTGTGCTGGTAACCGATTGATGGTCTCCGGGCACCTGCAGATGATGCTGGGGGGATGAGGGTGTGTGTGTGGCGGTGGTGGGGATGCGGGTGTGTGTGTGGTGGGGGGATGTGTGTGTGTGTGTGTGGTGGGGGGGACGTGAAAATGTAGCTGGCGGAATTGCGGGTGGGTTATAGAGGCTTTGAAGCAGTAACGCAGTGCTATGGCAGCCGCTTGGTGGTCTTGAGACACATGAAGACGTAACTTTACCGGGCGGGTATCAGGTAAGAGGCAACATGCAGGGTAGGGCGGCGGGGGAGGTAGGAAAGGGATGGATGTGAAAGGGGGAGGGGGGAGTGATAGTTTGGACATAAGGAACATTTGTTTTGTTTTGGATGTACATAGGGTAGGGGGTTGGGGCGGTTGAATGGGTGAAAGTAGGGGAGGGGAACAATGTGAGGGGTAGAAGAAGGACCTGAGTGGGCGACACATGGGTATTTCCAACTGACCGACAACAGGAAGGGTAATTTACCCTGGGAAAAGCGCGGAGCCCAGCAGGACGAGGGCGATGAGGGAGAGCAGCCCGATGGTGACCCACGGCAGCAGCTTCTGCAGCGTGCCTAGGTTCTGCTGCAGGGAGGGGGGGGAGGGGAGGGGGGGGGAGGGAAGGGCGGGAGGGAACAAAGAAGTAAAGGAGACGTTGAGGGATTGTGATGGGGAAGCGGAAGCGGCGATTGTGATCCGCGGCAGCAGCTTCTGCAGCGTGCCTAGATTCTGCTGCAGGGTGGCGCGAGAGGGATGGGAGGGACACGAGGGGATGGGAGGTTGACACGAGGGGATGGGAGGTTGACACGAGGGGATGGGAGGTTGACAGGAGAGAGTCCGGTCTCGAGATGAGAGCAGCCCGGCGAGAGGGAGATCCATGGCAGCACCTTCTGAAGTGTGCCTAAGCTTTGCTGCAGGGAAAGGAAAGGAGAGCGGAACAACCAAGTAGGGGAGAAAGTGAGGGATTGTGATGGGGAAGAGGGAGCGGCGATGGTGACTCATGGCAGCAGCTTCTGCAGGGTGCTGGATTCTGCTGCACGGGGGGATGCAAGGGAGGGGAAGTGTGATGGAATTTGGTGCAAGTGCTTAAAAATGGATACTCGGAGGGAGAAACGAAGAAGCTTTCAAGCTAGCATCGGATGATCATAAAACCACAGACGCGCATGAAATGAGGGATGCATCCAAACGACAATGGCCTGAAGTGTCGAAGTTGGTGCTGCAGTAGCGAGTCAATGCAAAAGATCTGTCCTTCTCAAAAGGCAACCTTGCTCACGTTAGAGTGGTGGCAATGGCGATGCCCTGTCTTATCCCACAGCAGGTGGGCGAGAAGGGGGAGAAGATACAGGACCGCCTTCCGTGATTGCATCTGCTCGAAGAATAACTCATGCTGCGGTTCGGATCCTTCGGTTTCCCATGCTCACGTGCTTGGACTGGTGGTAGTGGTGATGCCCCTTCTTTTGAGTTGACTCAAAGGTCACCTCGTTTAGAGTCCTGCTCACGTGTTTCGAGTCCTGCTCACGTGTTTCGAGTGGTGGTAATGGTGATGCCCCTTCTTATCCCGGTGCTGGTGTTGCCCTCCACCTCCCCCCGCCTTCCCCGGGCTGCGCATGGGGAATGCCGCGCCCATGCTGCCCCCCGCACGTGGGCCACGTTGCGCCCGCGCGGAGTCTTGTCGTCCGCGGACGAGCCCTCCATGCTGCCCTCCGAATTCATCGCCTGCGACGTCGCCCAGCGATGCGGCGATGGTGAGCGACGCCCGCCTGCGCGAGCCTCAAGTGCTGTCGCCAGGGGAGAGCGACTGCTGCGACTGCTGCGGTTGCTGAGCGAATCTGGGGCTGGGTGATCTACTCTTCTTTCGCGAAGGGAGTCATTAGATGCCGCGAAAATCAGAGCGCAGTGAGAAAGTTTTAGATAGGACGATGACGAAATGGCCAACAGATTGGCGCAGACGAAGGGTGAAGAGACGCGTCGAGTCACCACTGAATGCCCGAGGACGTCTCGAGTCCACCCTAATGAAGAGGCAGGGAGAGGTGGGGACTAGGTGGGGGAGAGCGGACGACATCAAGGGCAACCAATTTTGGTTTTGGGTAAGGAGTATCCGCGCTATTGGACAGTAAACTCCGAGTCCCTGAGGTGGCTTTCATCCTCGTGTTTCGTAGTGGCTAAACCTTCGAGATATGAAGGAATTGTGTTTTCCCTCACATGGGATATGAAGTATTGCTTCATTCATATGCGGGGTAATATGTCTAACAGCAAGCTTCGCATGTGTCTTGTATCGGATATATCGAATCTCCTAAAAGGTCATGTCAGCTCACACGGAAATGACGTGTCTGAGCTCGCTGGATCCAATATCGGCAAATGATGCGAGTCGGAGCAGAAGTCAAGATTCCAGCCCAGAGCCACGTCAGTAATGCTGCATCAGGTAGCCCAGGAACTGGCTAGCTGTGGAAGAAAAATGCGCGGGAAAATGCGGGGCACGCTTGTTCATCCTTCATCCCGCCATCGCGACTTGGCATGAGGAAAGCCAAGGGTCCAGTACGGGAGCAAAAATCTTGGCGAAACTCAACGATCAATTTTGAAGCACCCCAATCCAATCACGTTCCGCGCGAAAGATAAAACGGTTCTTCTCTTGGCTCTGTAACTCGAACTGGCTGTCGCCGTTGGTTGCTTCAGCAGGAGGGTGAGGCGAGAGGATAGATAGCGGGGGAAAGGACGGCAGTGACGAGAATGTTCTTCCAACCAATCCTTCTGGAGACGAAAACTTAGTTGAGAGCTGCGACGACTTGGCCCAACTTCTTCTTGCTTCGCCAGCCAGCTGCGGGCTCGCAATCGTAGACACTAGCTTTCGTGGGCCTCTCTCAAGAAGGAAGATCTGGGGCTCGCCATGGCGTTTAACACCTGTTGTGCCGCTGGTTCGAGAGTCGCCGTTCCTTCCACTCTAGCACGCGCAACCGCCACGGCTGCCAACACTGCAAGCCCCAGCGCCATCGTCAGGCCGCCACAAAATTCGATGCGGGGGCTGGCGCTGACGCACCGCGGCACGAGCCATGGGCCAATCAAACCCGTGTGGACCAATCGCCGCGTGGCACGTGGAGCTAGAGCCGCCGTGGCGACTGCTCCCGCGAAGGCGATTGCGAAAGAAGAATCTGCGATACTGTACAAGGTGGAAGGTGCGGTGGATGAAAATTGATAATAATTAACAATATAATCCTTTACGTTCGCCTTCGAAAGAGTAACATCCGGTTTTTACTATGCATTGGTCTTGTTTCGGCGTGGAAATCGCCAGTGCCTTAATTTCGTCGCTAGTGCCTTAATTTCTTATTTTCCTTAGCTTCTCGTTCCTCGCCTGGAAGTAGCCATTTTCCTTGCTTACCGTGCGCCATGCCTGCATGCTGCCCATCCCGTCTCCGCCGCATGCCTCGCCGCGCATAGCACCAGAATTCCCAGACGGCACGGTGATGCTGCGCTTCGCAGAGGCCGGCACAGCCGCGGCCGGCGCGGCCGGCACGGGCAGCGGGAAGCACGCGGCGGTGGATGTGGAGAGAAGCGTGGTAGAGTTTCTGCTGGGTTGCCGGACGCCGCACTGCCGCGTGCTGGATAACGCCGCGATCGACGAGATCGTGGGCACCCACGTGCCCCTTCAACCGTACGTGTGGTACATTTGTTGATTCTCCTCTTTCCAGTCGCTCACAAGAACAGCTTGATCAACCATCAACACATGGTATTGGGAAGACGCACGCACTTTGAACCACCCTTTTCTTGTTTCCCACTCCCCCACCCCTCCCTATCACCACAGAGGCCAGCAGCTGTCGCACCTGGTAACCATCACCGCGCACAACACTGTTGCCCTCTGCCGTCCTTCTCTGCCTGTTCCCCACCCTCCATGGGTCCCTCCACCCCCCCCCCCCCTCCTCCCCCCCACAAACCACCCCTTCCCCCTTTCCCCCCTACCCCCACTCATCTCCCCCTCATCCCTGCCCCCCCCTCCATCCCCCCACCCTCCTCCCCCTCCCTATCACCACAGAGCCCAGCAACTGTCGCACCTGGTGACCACCACGGCGCACAACACTGTCACTGCTCTCAAGGAAACCCTGTCGGCGCACAGCCATCATCAGCAGCAGCACCACCACCACTCGCCTGCCACCAATGATCATCCCTTGGAACCAGTGCTGTCTGCCATCACGAGTACTCCTGCACCACCTGCAGTTGCGCCTTCAGCAGCAGCACAGAAGCCAGCAACAGCGCCAGCAGCACCAGCAGTAGCAAGAGCAGCAGCAGTAGAACATCAGAGCCCAACAGCAACGCAGCTTGCTCCTGCTGCTGCCGCCAGCAGCAGCAGCATCAGCATCGTCACCTCGCCTGTTGCACCCGTTGTGCTTGCTGCAGCAGTGGCAGCAGCAGTGCAGCTGGTAGCTAAACGCACGGGCCTGGTGGGGAAGCTACCAGGAAACACCCTCAAGGCGTGGGCGCTATGGAGCTGGCCTGCTGCGGCTGTGATTGTAGCTGTGGCTGCTGGTGTGCTTGTGTGGCGCGTGACTAAAGAAAAGGCATCCGGCAAGACCCTGCCCCTTCTTTCCTAATGCAGTCCGTGACTGAATGGGGGCTGCTGGAGTGCTTGTACAGAGCATGACTAATCCACTTGCACAAGGCTTCGACCCATCCACATTATTCCTTTTCCATGTGTGTGCGTGTGTTGAGTGAGACTCCTCCATATGCCAATAAGTGTTTTTTAAATGTACTTTTCTATACATACCGTAAAACCTGGAACATACTGATATTTTCCTTACCGTATTAAGGAGGCTTGGTGTCAACACGCAATTATGATAAATATTACGAGACGCTTTGCACCAGGCAGTTGTGCCTCAGTTTTTCTATGCCCCAATGAGCCTCATACCCGCTCATAGTGCTGGTGCAACCGGAAATCCCTACATTATTGATGCTCAGCTACTGCTAACTCAACAGTCCCGAAGTGAGGTTTAGGCTCGGCCCATGTAGGAGCCGGTGCGAGTGTCTACGGTAATCGCCTCTCCCTCTTCGATGAACAGTGGCACCGACACTGTAGCTCCTGTCTCGATAATCGCAGGCTTGGTCCCACCTGTTCGTTCAAGTAGTGCAATGGAAACGGTGTGAAGGGGGGGGGGGGGGAGGAGAGGAGGGCAGAGTGGATCATTACATACTGTCTAGCTCGTTACGTATTGCAGATGCTCCCTATGTATCCATCGACGAAACTCTCTGCATCCATTCAACCCCATACTTCCTCGTCCCCCATCGGACTCACCTCCGCCAGCAGTGTCCCCCTTGACGCGGGGGTCCGTTAGAACAACCTTCACTTCCAGCGCGCTCGAACAAACTTCCTTTCTCCACTCATCTCATCCATCTCCCCTCGTCTCTCTCCTGTCACACTCGTCCCTCATCGCTTACCTCCTCCCGCCGTGTCCCCCTTGACGCCGGGGTCCGTTTGAACGACCTTCACTTTGAGCGTGATCGGCAGCTCCAGGTCGATCACCTTGTCGTTCCACGTCAGCACGTTACACTCCATCCCCTCTTTTAGGAACTTCACTCTGTCGCCCAGTTGCGCCTTGGTCACCCGCGTCTCCTCGTACGTCACCTGGAATTGAGAACAGAGGGGAAAGAGGGAGCGAAAGAGAGGTGTCCGACTCGGTGAGCCATGCTGACGTGGTATGGATGACAGCATGAGGGCATCGTAATACCGCAGACCATGGGAGACACACGCATGCGGCATGCGTAGCGATGTTGGGGTATGGGTCATGGCCCATGAATACATGTAGGCATGCCACGGGAATCGGGGGCTCAGCTAACCGCATCAATTTTCTCCTCATGCAGTCAGCCACACGTCATGCGGCAGCTGGCATCGGAGGGTCTCATTTTGATCATCATCATTGCCGCGATTTCCAGGGGAATGCACAAGGGGGTTCGGTTCGGAAGACATTTGAGTCGACTCGAGAGTCAGCAAAGGGGAGGATGGAATCAAACACGCTCTCCCGCCGCCTTCAAGGGAGATGAAGAGAATCGGTTCACTTGCAACACGAGATTGGAGTGACTCCGATATCGAGTCGGGCTCAACAACCCCGGCATGCAGATTACACGAAAGCAGGTTGATAAAGACAAAGAAAAAGACGGAAATCAACGGCGAGGGCAGCTCAGTCCGCCGGTGAGGCCACACGCGGGCCGTCCATCTTGACTCGGACGGCCGTTCGGCACTTGGGATCACGTTCATCATCACCGCTGCTCTCCGCGCCGCCCGTAGTTGCGGTGCCGGCTTATCAAGTCCTGTTGAGCCGTGTCAACGCAGTGAACCTACATTTCTCTGTCACAAGCGCGAGTCGACTCGTGGAAGCACTTGACCATGTCCATCAAGACGTAGTCCTCGCCCTCGAGGTACGTGAACTGATTGGATCGGCGTAAGTGGACCATCGGAACACTATATGGCGTAGGGGGTTTGAATGGCCAGCCAAGCCAAGCAACTCACCATGTCCATGAAGACGTAGTCCTCGCCGTCGAGGTACGTGAACTGCTTCACGTCCTTCACCACGCTGGCCTCGTCCACCTGCCGGGAAACAAGATGAGATACACGAAAGTTGGAAAATGAGGGGAATAGGAGAAGATGAGGGTACTGGGGCGAACGATGGGAGGGGGAGTGGGGGGATAGAAGGGGAAGGGAAGACCGAGACAGACGGAGAATTTATCCTGATACCAGACTGAGGGCGAAAGCGGAACAAAGACAGAGAGTCGAGGGAAGTCCGGAGATTGACTGACCGACTCGCCGGCTCGGAAGGTTCGCTCGACGGTGTTCCCCGTGATGAAGTTGCGCAGCTTGGTGCGCACGAACGCCGCCCCCTTGCCGGGCTTCACATGCAGAAACTCTGCACTGACAGCACAGGGAGGACGGATGACAACGAAAGTTGGATCCATTTCAAAAAGGAAAAAAGGAAAAAGAATAGAAAAAAAACTCCAAAGCGGAGAAGACCCTAAGGGTGCGATCTACATTGGCGGTCACGAAGGAATGCACGCGTAAATAGACATGAAGCTGCGTGAAAGCCTTTTCTTCCGTTGCTTGTACGCGAGGGTTCTCACCATCACCATCAACGCACCTTGCACTCTCCACGGCGCGCCGTCGAGCTCAATGCTGGTTCCCACACGGAAGTCGTTGCTGGAAATGGCGAAGATTCCTGAAAGCGGACCCAAACAAATTGGAAGGAACTGAGGAGCATTAGAGAAATCTTTCTTAATCAACTCAACAAGGAGACCACATTGTCTCAAGATTCCCGGAAACAATAAATAACTTACGGAGGGGTTGTCGCGAACTTCTGTTTATCGCGACGTGTGCGACGGCTTGCGATGTCGCCTTTCGCCTCCATTCGCAGCTCGCGGTTGACTCTGGCGAAAGCAGCAGCCTTCCCGCTGCTGCCGCCTGAACCGACGACTGCGCAATGCTCAGCATCTCTACCACCTTGATCCTCACGATCTCCCTTGCGGCCGAGACGCCGGTTCACGAAAACTAAGTCAAGAGGGACGACGATAAGGCCACGGCAATATTGTTGAAAATAAGCTGGTGCTTGGACTGACTAGGGAGACTACCAGCTCTGTGAAAGTGATTTTGGGATTGGGCGAAGCTAACAAGACAGAGAGAGCCCACAATAGATTCCAGATTTCCCTCCAGCCCAACAAGCTGGTGTTCCCTCCACCAAGGCGAGCAGGGGAGACAGGATGGCAGGTTGACGAGGCCGAAGGGATTTCATGCTGACTGGATGCTCTACCTTTCAGATAGGCTTTCGCGAAAACAATGAGCAGTCGCAAGTGCCTCACGACAGTATTCTGTTGGAGTGTGTTGGAGGCGAAACTCGGCGAGAGTGACGTACATTTCCTTTACAGAGTTGATGTGGCGATGGCATCTTATCAGTGGGGCCACCAGGCGCAGATCTGGGCGAATGACCATGGTGACGTGCCACTAAGCTGGCAAATGGCAGGGCGCAGATGGCTCGCGTCCGCGGCGAAAATTTCCATGAAAGAACCATACACCAGGGGCACAAAACATGTTCGTATATATAGATAAAGAATACACCAAACCACCAATTACGTGGAACAAAATACAAACCTACGTTTGGGAGTGAACAAGCCATTTGCTATATCTGTCAAGCTATACTCATTGAGATGCAAGCAGAATACGTAACGTGTTGTTGGGGGTGAGAAATCTATGTGGGAAAGGCATTCCCGTTGTAGGTGATGTGTCCTTGCACTCCAACCACTGCTCGATCTCATAACGCTCATACGTGTACCCGTCAGCTGCCACCACAGGGTCCGTCATGCGCCTCTGCAAACACGGTGTGAAGGAACGCAAGGTCTAGGATTTCCAATTGAGAAGACAGAACCATAGGCCATGTGTGGGGCAAACACAGTGGTTGGGTCGCCAAGTAGGCCAGAAGAAAACGCTCGAAATATATCCAAGACCGGGTCGACATACCTGAGAGATGGGGCAGAGCAGCTGGCTGTCCACATCCGTCCTTCCCCTCTCCCCCTCCCCTTGCACTTCCTCCGCTAGTCTCATCAGCACCGGCTGCACCTCCTCTTCCAATCCTGGCCTCCGTGCCCTCGCCCTGTCAGCGCACCGCACTCCAATCACTGCCAGGTGGCGTGCAACGTCAGCATGCCACTCCCCGCCGGACTTATCCAGCCGTGCCAAAACAGCATCCACTGTAGACAACCGAGGCTCTGAGGATAATGCTCCCTCTCCAACCCCATGACTGCTACTGTTGCCATTTCCACATCCACTCGCCAAACCCGTGTTTCCTCCCGCCCTCCCTCGTCTACTCTGATCTGCAGCTAGCTTTACTGCTGTATCCGCCAGCAGGCGGTGAACCAACTTCACTTGAGGCTCCCCCATCAGCAGCTGAAGCACTATCAGCCCGAACGCGTAAACATCAGATAAAACCGAGATTTCACACGTTGCCACCTCTTCAGGGTCTATATACCCCACTGTCCCTTGCACGCGCGCGGTTACATTGTAATCATCTTCAGCAATTAGCCTCGCCAGCCCCACATCCCCAAGCTTGCTCATGCGGTTACCATCGAGTAACACATTGTCAGGTTTCAAGTCTCGGTGCACGATGGGCGGTGAGTGCTGGTGGAGGTAGAGCAGGGCGCCTGAAACTTCAGAGAGTATTCGTACCCTGTCGTACCAAGCCAAGGGCTGGCGCAGGACACGATGCACCTGAACAGCTCCTGCCGAACCTGCCACTGAACCAGCAACCGAGCCGGCTGTCACACCCACGCCAGGGCCAGTCAACACAGCAGAGTTCATGCTGCCATGGCCTGCCCCCATTCCCCCAGCACCACCCCCATTCCTCGCACTAGCAGACAAATACTCCTGCAGGCTGCCGCCCGGGAGGTACTCATAGAGAATGCACATGGCCTGGGGGTCGGGGCAGTGCCCCATGAGCAGCACGATGTGCGGGTGGCGCATGCGGCTGAGCACCTCCACCTCCGTGCTGTACTCGCTGGGGCCCTGCCACCCACCGCCCTCCAGGCGCTTGATGGCCATGTTGCACCCCAGCAGCTGGCCCTTGAACACCTGGAAGAAGGCGGGTTAAGGGAGGGAGGGATGCGATTGGCCATCTCCTATTCCAACCCCATGGAGGAAGGGAAGGGAAGTAACTCTGCGATAAAAATAAAGGAGGTTCAGCACAACCATTCATAGAAGTAATCCGATTTCGTTACACAAATTCCCAAAATGTTGACACTTCATTCTCTATTTTAGCATGACGTAATTTAAGTTCAATGCGCTATTTCTCACATTCACGTTCACCCCATTTCTCCCCGCAATACCTGTCCGAATGCTCCTCGTCCCAGCAGATTCGTGTCACTGAAATTGTCTGTAGCGCGTATAATTTGCTCCAAGCCGAACACCCGGCACTGCCCCCTCCCCTCCCCCAAACCCTTTCCCCCTTCGCCCCACCTACCATCCCCATTACCCGCGCCTTCCCCCTTGCCCCTCCCCCATTCCCATGTGTCCGCGCATCCAGTGCGGTTGCTGCTTATCGTTTCCCAGCAGCTCCTCCTTTCCGCCTCCCCCACATCCGCGCATTCCCTCTGCAACGCCCCGCTCCCCGCGGCTCCCGCGAGATTCGCTGCGGGGCTCATCCACGCAGTGCGCGCCGAGTCGCCCGCGTCCGAGGTGAGTGTGATAAAACTGAACCCATTCGATACAGAGTCGAGCTCGCTCGCCATCTCACTCGCAGTTCCCGCTGACGCCATTCGCGGGCCTCGCGTCGGTACTTGCGATGCCTTTTCCGACGTCGGTAGTGGTGGTGACTTTTGCGACGTCTCATAAGCGCTTCGCGCGGGTGCTAAATGCGTCAGCTCTGGCTCGGCGCGCTGCCAGACCGCGCCGCGCGGCGCTCCTGTTCCCGCGGCGCCTCGCGGGTCGGCCCCGAGAGTCGAGTAGAGCGCAAACTCGGCCGTGGCGGGCGCGGCAGAGGCGGTGGCGGCGCAGGCGGCGGTTGAGGAGGCTCCCGCGCTAGCATGGCGCGAGAGAGCGCGGTCCGCCGCGTTTACTAGCGGTGGTGGGTCGAGGCGTGCGCTGCCACCGAACTTCGATAGTGCCTGCTTGCCGCGTCGGGAGCGTGAGTGGGGGGGAGAGCGAACGGTGGGGCGTGAGTGGGGGGGAGCGAGAGGAGACGGGGGCGAGAGAGGGACCCGGGCAGAGAACCCCGGGAAGAGCATATCGGTGATGCTGGTTACAACTCGGAGTTAGCCCCCCCCCCCCTTTTTTTTTTTTTAATCCTGACTCTTGGGCGAAGGTGTTGTACGGATAGGTGTCGGAGCCCAGGAAGCGACCCTCGACCCATAAATGATCCTTACCCCCAAGCTCCTCTCCGCATTTGCCGCCGCCACGTGCGCGCCGAGTTCCGCACCTCCCGCAGCGCCGACGCGGTAAATCTCCGGCATGAGCTGCGACGCGTCCTCATTGGTCCCCCGCCGCAGCTTCACGCTCGCGAGCGGCTTCAGCGGCGGGGAGTTGAAGCCCCCTCCCGCCGCCGCTCCGCCCCCCGCCCCAGGTGCGCCGCTGGCGCTACTACCACTCAGTGGGCGGCGGTTGGCGGAAGCGGCAGGGGGAATGGCGGCGTAGCTTCCGGGCATGTGCTGCGAAACGTCCTCGTAGGTTCCCGCGCGGATGGAATGGCCGCCTCGACCGGCGGCAGAGAGGGGAGGCAAGCGAGACATCATGGTAATCACGATTTGATTTCAATTACAATGTATTTCTATTTATCGGTCGCTGCCGCGAACTGCGCACAGCTATCCGCACATTACCCGCACTAGTAAGGACCGTGCACGGAATTACTATTTTCGGAGCATGCATCTGAACCTGCATGCACCCCCAAATTTCGCACTCTCCTCTGCCGAGCAACCCACCTCTGTGATGCAATTGCACTGAGGTTCCAAGTTTTGGGAGAGAAATGCGCGTTTGGAGGGCACGAGGCCAACACGGTGACGAGGATAACGAAAGGAGCATTGCTGACTCGCTGTGCAGTAACGAGGGGCACTGGATGGGCATGGGATCATGGCATGGGACTTAATTGGGCTGAGGGGCTCGCGTCGCGAGCCAGCCACGCTTTTGTTGTTCGTGCTTTCCGCAATGCGCTGTCATCATCATGCTCTCTCCGACGGTGCCTTGCTGTGAGCAAAAAACAGCACGACACGACCGCACGACACGAGCCTGCTCCCTCAGTCCAGCGCGTGTGCTACTGTGCTGTGCCCGATTCGTACACCTGATTTCCAGTCAAGCGCTCATTCTAAAACGATCGTGCATTTCTTAACAGGCCTACTGGTTCCGATTTCCAGGAAACGGTTCATCCTATACATGCCCGGACCGGTATTTATTACCCATTCTGATCCTCCGTCGAGGAAACGTGCAGATGGGACATTTACAAGACCGACTTGGAGAATTCGCAACATGGGTCCATGAAACGTGGAATGCCTTTCGCGAGGCACGGCCGCTCGCGTGCAGTCGAAGAGCGAGAGTCATACAAACTTCTCAAATCACGAAGACAATGTCAAGCTCGTCATTTCGCATGCTTCTCTACAGGCAAGTGGGACAGAAACGTGGAATTTGTAACAAGATATTTGTGTCTAGTCAATAAACAGAGGTCCTAGCGGGCAATTGTGTAGTCATTTCGTTCCGCCCTCCATCAACGTGTGGTGGATTCGGTAGCTGTGCGGTGTAGATGTGATTGTATGTGTTATTACATTGCCCCTACATCCTAGGTTTTGGGAAGTGATTATGATTGGGATAGGCGCTACGTACAGCATTGGGTGAGCATCGACTGTATGTCCCGTCAACTGGACACGGGATTTACAATATTGAAGGACAAAGGGTTTGCGAGAAGCATTATCATATATGATATTATACTCCCGAAACGCGGCTAGACAAAAATGGCGTACAAGGCATAATGGCAGTACGCTACAAGCAAGCAAGACTATGGAGTTTCCATAATCATTGGAGCTTTGTTTGATATGTAGTGTTCATGGTTGGCAGCGTTGGCGTATATTGCGAGCATCCATCGCCCGCCATGTCGCACGCGTGTCAACCCTAGTTTCAACACGATATTGCATGCTCTTATAATAAACAGCGTAATAGACGAAAATAGGGTCAAGCTATTTACATTTGCGTTCTTTTTTCATTAAATTTGTTAAGTTGTGGGGTTGACGAAAATTAGGGCCGTAGAGCAGGAACCTCGAAAAGTTTACGAAACTCGTAACAAACTCAAACTTCCCAACTTGACCGAGTTGCGCAATATGAAAAAACTACGCCCTAATCGAATCGAGTTTTGTTTCTCAAACACTCGACAAAATATGTGTAGACGAATTGAGGTATGTTTTGTTACAAAACGTGGCGTTTCTTGAATGGCTAGATTTTGGATCCATAATTTTGTCTACGATGAAATGGATCCAACTCCGCGCATTGATTAACGAGGTCTGACATATCATGTTTTATCAGAGCTCGTCCCCCAATCATAACGGTTGCTTTTAATCGCACAATCGGGACTGTAATCCAAATAGTAAAGTTGAAATCCGAACTTGGGGAGTACATGGTAGCTGATTCTATGGATAAACGGCTTATGGCGTAGTACATAGCATAGAATGTCATTGCGATGAACGCATATGACCTGTAAAGCAATATGGGAAACCAGCTGCGCAACACAAGCCTAATCTGCCAGCAAATTTTTAGGTGTGATTCTGGAGCAACCTACAGGAAACGATTTCAGCGTCCAAAAGAAAACCGGGTGTTAAAGACCTTAACGAGTAAACGAATGCAAATCTACGAAATCTTTCGACATTTTCTATGTTGTGGGGCTCGATGCTGCGCGTGCCAAAGTGACGATCTGCAGTGAGGTCTCCAGTCGTCAGATCCGGGCTCCCTACTGAAACCACCCAAGTCTGTCTTCAGGCGATATCATATCCATCAGCATCCGTTTTCAGGCCCAAATCCGCCAAACCTAGGGTTACAGCCCGCTTTCGAGCCGAAACCAACCCGATACCCACCGGAACCGTAAAAAAGGATGTTCCGTCCCAAATGAGCCCGTTAAAATAGCCATTGTTGGGAGACTACCTGTAGAAATCAGGCCCTTCACTCTTCTTTCTTGGATGAACGTTTTCTACGAACTGCCAGCTTGAACCTCACGAAACTGCGGGATTTCAAGCTAACAATGGCGCGAAGCGTGTGACTCGGACGAAGTTCAAACGTTCGGGGAAGGCCAAACGCCTCGAAGGTGCAGCAAAAATTGCAGCCAAAACGAACAATTATCTATACGATAGCCCAGCGTCCACACTCATGATGAGAGAACCAAACACGGTGAGAGGATTCGAGAGCATACACCTTGATCCTGACAGAGGAACAAAGCCTTTCAAGGTGCCGGTAGACAAAAACGTGCAGGGGTTTGCACGTCATCGTCACGGGCATATGGGCATTTCGCACTGGCACGAAGGTTACCGTTTTGATGTTTTGCGGGGTAGGTTTGAGTGGCATATTTTGGCGAGCCATTGTTCACTTAGTTACCCTGTGTTAAATTTCGGCGCTTTCAAGCGAGAGTGAGTTTCTCTGGTGTAGCACCAGAATGGTGGTTGGCAGGTGAGATGTTGAGTGAGTTTCTCTGGTTTAGTTTGCTCCCTTTTATACTCAGTGAAATATAGCGAGGGTTTGGAGTTGCATTTCAGTTCCAATTGTTAGGTGCGTGTTCTAAAGATTTATCACATTACGAATGGAAGGTTCGTGTCGCAAAAATAATTGCTGCGTGGATTGTGGGAATTCGTTTTCGAGTTTGTTCCTTGGTTGGTTGTCGGATGTTGAGAACGACCCCTGGCATCAGGACATCGCGACTCCATTTTGCTGCCAAGTCAGCGTTCGGTTTCATGCGGGGATGCTGAAGCCACAAACAAACCCAGCAAGGCGTATGCACCTTTGCGAGCTCAACGAAAGGCTCGCTGAGCTTTGCCGAAGCGTTATTCCGAGCGCGGCTTGAAGTTTTTGGCGAAAACGGTTGCGGCGCACATCTTTCGTCTTGTGCCGCATGTTCGTCACCGCTGTTATGATAACGCTGCACTGCTGGCTCTGTTCACGGCCGACGTTGAGTGGGCCGTTGCCTGTGTGCCAACGCTAATGGGCGATGGTTTCTGATCGGTACACGTATTGAGCTGGGCCTTAGGTGTGCTCCAGGTGTAACAAAAAGTTGCACATCCAGATACGCCCTAAGTACCCCCAGCCCGCCTAATCCATCCCGGGAAATTGTAGTACAGGTCACTGTTTCGCCTCTCTAACACACTTAGTCATCCTTGTCATGCGAACGAGCACTTTTTCCGAAGAAAAACCTCAGCGCGTCACTCCAAAGACATGGGAGGTCACACCTTCTGGCGATTTCTAACACGAGCGGCTACTCGCCGAGACCCCCGCCCGAACACCGCCCGTTTCACTCCCTTTTCCCGCGCGCGCATTTCTTACTCTTACTATCTTCAATTCCGAATCTCACCAATATTTGTTATTTTCATACGCCATTGGTTTTCGGCACGAAGGAGGACCCAAATTTGTTTTAGAACGGCAGAGATAGTTGTGACGCTATCAGTGTTTACTAGTATAATAACATGCTGAGACGTGTATTACACAACAAAATCAACCAAGCAGCACATAATTAGAAAATTATTAAACATCATTTCTTCTTGCTCCAAGGGAAAACATTCATTGATTCGTGCGGGTTTTCAGTTCTGTGCCG